CTCATTTAGTGAAGAGTTATGCCACCGTATCTGTATGCATTATCCGATTTATTTTATTTCATCTTGTCGTTTCGCTGTTGCTTGATATCCCCGATGTGGCTGCGCTTGATGTGCATGTTGACAAAGTGCCTACTTGTCTATTACCCACTAACTCCTTCGTACTGGCTCCAGGAAACAGTTGGTCGTTGCTGGAGGGGACGGGGTGCACGGTTCTTGTGGCCGTGTTAGGATCAAAAAGTGGTTCCATGCACTCATTGTGGAGCGGACTACGGTCCAGCCATCGCCTTGTGTGCGCTTGATTCCCCAACTACATCGTGCTTGTGTTTGGCTGTGTAGGAGTGTGGGCCGGCTCCGTTGATGAAACGTGGCTCCCATCCACATGCCTCCCGGTCTTATTCCTTCGGGTTTACACTGGATATGGGGTGTGTGGTTGGAGCTGTGGGTGGTGCAGCGCAAACCACCCATGGTCCCTCTGTAGGCGCAGGCGTCCTGTTGCTGGCCACAGTGACAGGCAAATCCGGAACCGGATGCTGCCAACCATGGCTCGTTTAGTGGAGCACTTTTAAGCTCGGTTCAGCTGGCTCCTTGCTCCCGGACCTGTTCTTGCTCTGGTGATGCAGGACGAACCATGGACGGTTTGTTTAGAGCCTCCACCGGAGACGGGTCCGAAACGCGATCACAGCTCTCAATCGTTTTCATGCTGCTAGTCCGTATTCTCTCCCACCTGCACTATTTAAGGATGGAGGTGAGGTCCTCTGTAAAGCACTGACCACCCTGTTCGAACATGTGTGGAAGGAGGAAACCGTCCCGGCTAACTGGAGGGAATCGATTATACTGACAATGTACAAGAAACGTACTCGCACAGACTGTGCTAACCGCTTAACGCCAGTTGTGACCTAAGTACTGGCCTCGGTTCTTGTTCGTCGCCTTACTGTGGAACGGGAATCCCGGATTAGGGAAGCGCAGACTGGTTTCCCCCAGGATATAGCTGTATAGACCATATATTCACTCTGCGTATGCTTAGTCACCGCTTACCTAGGCGGTCTTTGTTTAGTCTGCCAGATATAGGGTGGCACAAAGCTCAAGGTGGACAAAAGTTGGCTTGGCAATATGTGTGAAGTCACTGACGACCAAACTGGGTGCCTTCGGTTCGTCTCGACTTCCGGACTGCGTTTGTGTTGTGAGTTCCTTTGTCCACCCCTTCTCCTGCTTAGCGTCCCCCTCCAGTCACGACCTCACTCGTTAGGCATAATATAACTCTCTTTTTACGGCACGATAGCCAGCTGTTAGCTCTCCGAAACTATGTCCATCCGTTAGTGGGAACTCAGCCGGCGTGCTGCCACTGTTTGTTTTCCTTTTCTTGTCTTTTGTATTGCGGCACAATAGCTGAGGTGTTTTCTACCTGCAGCTGGCGTGTATAATGCTGATGATGATTCACTCTTCTGCAGATGCTAGAGCGGCGCCACGCATACCGCAAACCGACAATAGCTGTGTTCCTCCATTTCACGACTGCATTCGACTCAGTAGATCGATGCATTCTGTTCGAAATACTTGCGCTGAATGGTGTTCCCACGAAATATGTGAATATGTTACATGCTCTATACCCGAATAAACAGGCCGCGTCAGGGTCTACGGTAACATGTCGGATAGCTCTCCGACATCGAGTGTCGCTTGTCAGTGTTGTCCGATTTCCTTATATTTGTTCAATTCCGTCGCGGACTCCATCATGGAGTGTTCCCTTCCAGAATTCCACGATGCTGAGGTTGAGGCGCTGCCTGGTGAAACGTTAGTTGATCTTGGTTGTGCAGACGATATCGTCTTGCCATTTAACGATGTTGGGGCGACACAATCAATCCGGAATTATCTCACTAAAGTGGTACTATTATTTGATGTGTTTCGCATCTTCAAAGTGCAGTGTTGCTGCAGGACCGCCGGCCACTTGATGACTCTTAGCAGCTGCATCAGCAACGATGGGCGCATAGCAACTGAACTCAGTTCACGCATTGCCAAAGCAAGGTCTGCTTTATTGACTCTGTGGCATCTTTGGCGACAGAGGGCGTTTTCTTTCGTCTGGAAGGCCTTGTTTACAGGGCCACAGTGAGATTCGTCCTGCTTTCTGGGAGTGAGACTTGACCCCTTTGGTCTGAAGATCTGAGGCGCTTGCAAGTCTTTGATCCTCGTTGCCTGCAGAGCATTGCTGCTATCGACTGGCACCAGCGTGTCCTTAACGATAATGTGCGTAGGCGAGTACCAGACAGTGATAACCAAGTTAGTTCCTTAGAACAACTGATAGAATTGTATAAGTTGCATTGGCTATAGAATTGAAGACTGGTAGCTCAGGTGCGTTGGCTTCGGCGCGTACTACATATGTTTGGTCACCGCTTACCTAGGCGGCTTTTGTTTAGTCTGCCAGATATAGTGTGGCGCAAAGCTCAAGGTGGACAAAAGTTGGCTTGGCAGCATGTGTGAAGTCACTGACGACCAAACTGGGTGCCTTCGGTCCTTTTCGCCTTCCGGGCTGCAGTGCACGTGACCATCCTTGTGCTTGACTCGTTACAGGACGTGGCTCGCAGCCGACACCAGTGGCGCGTTTGCTGACATCTCCTAATCGGACTGCCTGTTTAAAGTGTGTTTGGTGCTGAATTATCTGCGGGGTAATGGCTGCTTATGACGCGGGGCAGTGATAGCCACAAGGAAGCTGTGTCACCGATGCCGTCTTATCTTTGCACGATAGTCAGCTGTTTGTGGCAGTATGTTGTTAACACAAGATGTAGGCGTTTTGATCCTGAATGTTTGCTGTTGTTTTTTTTTGTACCAGGCTTTTGTGACTGGGTCCCCTGTTTCGCGTGCCCCTACACCGATTCGCACGACGTGAGTCGTTTGCACGACGGGAATCTGGATTGAAGAATAGGAAGATGTGAGGTCAACCGATGATCTGTTCAAGTGGAACGAACTTGCTCACTTCGAAGTTGACCTCAGTTATAGCCACTACACTACTGGGTTGAGATACGGAAGCCTATAAGCCTCCCATTTAATGTCCCCTTTGTTATTGCTTAATATATAACGGCATATTATTTTTGATTTGCTTTATAGCTTTCTCTTTAACTGCCATCTGCTGAAATAGTATCTCGACACAATAGCTAGGGTGATTCTCATCCGCAGATAACGGGTGTGATGATTGCTTTTCTGCTGTTTACAGTATTCACTACTTATCCACCTTAGTTTCCAGGTAGTTGCCAGCTCGGTCTAAAGGGTTGTTTCTACCGATCCATCATTACCTGCTGCATCCTGCAAACGTGCATAGCAGGGAAGAATGAGCCACACCATGTCATGCCGATCACTGTGGCTAATTTCATCTTTTTGGTCAGATAGTTTCAGTCACTGCCTTGAGTGGGGTGCCCCGCGTACTCTGAACTCCAATCGATCAATCGGAATGCCCTCCGCTAGCGGGCTCAAAAACGGCGAATCGGACGTTCAGAGCCTTTTCACATGTGTATCCGATGTCTGACTGTGTGTTTATCATCCTCATTATCATACATGTTAGTTAGGGTTGTAAAACACTACAGCTACTGTGCCAAGATGCAACAGATACAGGCCAACTGAGCTACCGGTACCAGATGGGCATTGTTCCATTAAGCTACCAGCCGACTACTATACCGCAAAAAAATTTACTATGCAAAATTATATAAGGCTAATTAGTGGGACCATGGTTGAAGGGGGAGGCTAAGAGGGATGAGGTGAGGCAAAGAAACTCACAGCACGAACGCCAATGGGGTCGGCTCCTAGCCATGTCAACAAGTATATCCAGCCAAACGTGTCCATCGTCTTTTGGACCCCATCCAGGAAGCTGAGACGCTCCAACCGAGGCCAGCTTTAAGGTGAGGGCTTTCATTCCTCTCGACCAAGTCATCGCTTAGCCACACCTCATCTGCTTCCATCCACACCCCCGGCGCGCAAACAACGCATGTCGCGGGAGTCGATGGGTTGTCATACGTAACACGTGGCCGAGCCATCGGAGCCTGATGCGTGAAATAACGGTGCTGGGTGGTTCATTTCTTTTCCTGTACCGTAAACGAGGCGTCGAACATGCTCGTTGCTAACTCGGTGTTCCCACCAGATGTGAGCCAAATTGCGAAGGCACCGGTAGTGGAACGTAACTAGCCTCTTTATGTCGGCTTGTCTAAGGGGTCAGGTTTCACAACCGTACAATAGGGTCAAACGTACCGCTGCAGTGTACACTCTACCCTTCAGGGAGAGAGTGATGTCGCGCCGGCGCCATAAGTGGCGAAGGTTAGCAAAAGCGCCTCGAGCTTTTGCTTGCGGTTCTTGATCCCATCTTCAATCCCACGGGCGCTGACGCAACTTCCGAGGTAGTTGCATTTTTGAACGACTTTTAGCTGATCCCCACCAAGCGTCAGCGTAGGAGGCGGTCCAGTCCAATCTTGGAGGAACGCTTTACACTTCGAGCGTGCAAAGCGAAGCCCGAAGTGACAGACAGCCAGTGCCACTTGGCACATTTTAGAGCTGTCAGGGATAAGGGCAATATCGTCAGCATACTCCAAGTCATACTGCAAGTGAAGTCTCATTGGAGCAGATCAACACCGAAGTCGTGTCCTGTGAACGTGATTTCCATGACTTCGTCACTTGCGAAGTTCAAGAGGAAAGGTGACAGCGGGCATCGTTGCTTCATACCGCTGGAGATATTGAAGAGCGACAACTGACAGTAACCACTCACTCTGCCTGAGCTACGCGCGTATGATCCTCGAATAATATTTACGTATTTCTCAGGTACACCTTTCCTGACTAGATAGTCCCAAAGTGCACGTTTATCCACAACATCGAATGCACCTTTGAAGTCGAGGTGTTTGTCACAGTTACTTGTGACACGCGGTGGAGATTTAAATGTGTTGCTGTAGTGAATCGCGTTTGAATTTGACCCATTTCCTCCACCGCACTGTTCCATGCTATCTGCCTGAATTCCATACTCTTCTGTCCTTTTAGCATTATCAATGATCGAACGTATTCGGACACTGATCGGGAGCGTCCGTTTCCTTTTGCATGTGCTACGCTCAATGCGTTCTCCCAATGGTACTTCGTGATTCCGTTTGACTCAGCTTTACTAAATTCAGACCTATCGCCAGCACTTTACATTGGCAGTGGCCAGTTCACTCCTGTTTTTAACAATCCCTCCTCTACGTTACTCACTGGATGGTATCTGGCCTGTCCGAAAAAAAGACGTACCCTTGAAAAGAGAAGAATACGAAAATTTTTATCTTGTACGCTTTTTGCTATTGCTCGAATCCACCTCATTCCTTCTAGTCACTATGGATAAATACCGCCCTCGTACTGATTTGGTCTCCTGCACCGCTTGTGGACATTTAAACCCCATGGGTTTTCTGTGCGGTATGTGTGAATTGGGCGTTTTTCTCTTCCCTGTCTTTCTCTATTGATGCTCTTGCTTATCACTGTAGCACTATTTCTTAACCATAAGTAGTTCATCGAACTTTGTCAGTGAGTTCAGCTTTGCATGCCGTTTTAGAGGTTCATAGTTTGCTTGCAGCCCAAGTGTCAGTGGTTCGAGCCTGAGTGGAGGCGTCAGTAGTACGCTGGTACGTAGTACCGACTCTTCGCTGCTGCGCAGCCATCAACATTGGCGCCTTAGCTAAGGATACTGCGACGTTCGCCCGGTCATCTACGCATGCTCGAACCCACGATCCCAGACTACAAGGCCACGTGCCGGCTGACAACTTTAGATACTACCCCAGCCTGATGACAAACAACGCTGGCTGTGTGACATCCGAATGTTGATGACAAAAGTGATCGGAATGGTCGACGTTTACTTCCAAGTAGCTCATAGTCCGAATTGCGTGTTCATTGCCCAATAACATATCCTTGGCAGCCATGTCATGCGTTGCTGTCTGAGTCCAGTGGCTGTCAGCTTTGGCTATCTGTAGTTGATGACACCAAGAAATAACTAACTTCGTCATGGAGCGCAGCGTTGATAAATAGCAGCACAGAAAGCTCCCTACTTTAGATGCAGTCGGGCTGTTTGGTATGACCAGGGGATACTTCGACGTAAACCGTGGTTTCTATTGGAACTGCGCGTCGCGCTCTAAACACACGATGGGTGTTCAAAACCCAGCCATAAGTCCCCTGAATTGTTGACAATTTATCTGAAGCACTCCTTGTGTGTAAATAAATCGCGATGGACATAGAAATGTATTTCTGCCAGTTCGGCCACGGAGACAGTCTGAAACAGCTACTTGTCAACTTCTGTCCGCTCGTTCGCAGCACGGCACTTCACAATCGATTTCGTGCTTCGTTTGCATTCACCACGTTGAGATGGGGCAGGATTGTGACTCTAATCTGGGACCGACGGAATGTTTGCGGAAATCTCTATCCCTGATTCGCCGACCTGTGGCCAAAAGGCGTCAGCCTTACAACCCGAAGGTCGAGCATTCTAGCCTGCCGAATGGGCGCGTTACCCTCATAGTATCCCTCGCGTTACTGGTTGTGATAGTTGCGTGGCCACGAAGCGTCGGCACGGCACACTGCTGGTGCCTACCTCTAATTCACCGAGTCAATCTCATATATATATATATATATATATATATATATATATTCGTTTGCGGCATCCGGTTTCAGATTTGCCTGTTCCTGTATCCAGCCGCAGGATGCCTGCGCTTACGGCGGCACCATGGGTGGTTCGCGCTGCACTTCCCACAGCCCCAACCACACCCCATATGCAGTGTAAACCCGAAGGAATAAGGCCGGAAGGCATGTGGATGGGAGCAACGTTTCATCAACGGAGCCGGCTCACACTCCTTCACAAGCAACCCCAAGCACGCTGTATTTGGGAATCACGCGCACACAAGGCGGTGGCTGGACCGTAGTCCGCTCCACACTGAGTGCATGGAACCACTCTTTGAGCCTGTCACGGCTACATGGACCGTGCACCCCCTCCCCTTCAGCAACGGCCAACAGTCTCCTGGAGCCAGTATAGACGAGATAGTCGGTAATGTACAGTTAGCCATCTTGTCAACATGCACATCAAGCGTAGCCACACCGGGGATATCAAACAACAGCCAATCACTTGAAAAAACAATATCAAATAAATTAAATCGAATGATTCATACAGATATGCCGACATAGCTCTTCGGTAAGTGAGCGTACGAAATAACTTGGTTGCCAAAATACCCGTTACAGGCTCAAGACGTCAGAAAATGTATTTTAATAAAATGTCGCAAACGCTAAAGTGTTATCAAAGTTACCTACAATTAACTTGAATGACGTGTGCAAATTAATAGAAGCTAGTACAGACAGACATTAAGAGGACAATTTAGCAAGACCACCACCTGCAATAAAGAGACCCAGCATGCAAGCATGCGGTTAGTAAATCGAACGCAGCGTACCTACAAACGCTGCGCCCGTTCTGCCTACCTTCTCTGCAGGACCCGTCGTCTTTTCGGTGTTGGTCCCGAATGGCCTCGCTCATGGCTCACTAGGCCTGCCTGACTCAGGCACTCGCGACAGCATCATGCGCTCGATGTCGATGGAGTACAAACCATCGGCGCCTGCCGCTTCTACACTTACCGCTTCTCTGCATGTATGAGGTCTTTCTCCTGCACCTCCGCAACTGCCTTCAGATCACTCCATGCATGCCGATCAACCGCTTTCGATTCCCACAACCTGCAATCAAGATTAGAAGGTGAGAGGCTCACTTTGCTCGTCCTGGTAACGTAGCTTCTTTTTCCCTACTTGTCACTTCCCAACATCAGCTGACCGTATACTAGTTGGTTCGGTATCCGCGTCGAATCCATACGCCATAAGATATCTCAGCAAAAGTATGTAGTCCACTGCATACATCCCACTTCGGCGCAACACTTCCATGTCCGCAACTCGGTCGCATTAACCAATGCGCAGAAACCGTCACAGATACTGTTGATGAAACCACTCGAGATAACACACATCCCACCAATACATCATTCACCTTTCGCTGCTGTATAGAAGGGCTTGCAGCACCGTGGATTTGTACACAATCAGCTTGGTGCTAACGGTAATCTGATGGTTGTTCCACACTCGGTACTCTAGCTTCCCGAATGCAACGAGACTGGACCTTAACATGGTGCGACGGTTTGCGTACCTCATTTACCCATTGAGCTATACTGGGTGATGCCTTTGGGCACCTTGAGAGCTACTCCTACCAGGTTGGTCAATGGTGCGAAATCAGACGAACTCAGTCTCCTGGTCCTCCAGGTTGAGGATTTGAAATGGGATGGCGTCCATTTCTGTAAAACTAAGTCATTGCCACCCCACCCCCGCTGCCTTGCGGACATGCTTTTGAACCAAAGGCTTTGGATGAGGACCCTAATCGTCCTCCTGTCTAGGTCTGGGCGCCTTGGCAGTATCTCGGCCCACATACAACCATGACATTTTCTTCAAACATAAACTTCATCCTGCATCGGCCGTCGCGCAGATTATCAAGGGTCGCCCTATCTGCTGCATACAGCAGGGCGGATAAGCGAAAACATGATACTGCTGACGCCTCTCTTCTTTCTTTTCCATCCTTTACTCCCATCCCGACCCTCATTACTAACCTTCCTTCTATAATCCCCAGCTTAATTGACAGCAACCGAAGAGCCACTGGAGTAGAGCCATCTGCGGCCACCATCCCACCGCACCTATCGGACGCCTATCGGCAAAAGTCCCTTTTAAGGCCACGCTATCCCGTTTCCATGGCGACATCCAACGTTCGCACTCTAAGACAAATATGTCAATAGGCTGCACTCGCACGCACCTTGGACACACTGGGTATTGATGTGTACTGTGTGTCCGAAACTAGGATCAATGACACTGATGGGGTTATTGAATTGACTGCACCCGGCTTATCCTCTCGTTATTGGTTGCACGCATCCGGAGACGCCGATGCAGCACTCACGGGTCAAGCTGGTGTAGGTATCATTCTAAGCTCCAAGGCTGAGCCATCGTTGGTTGATTCCGGTGGATTCCAGTGAACAGCCGTCTATATGCAGCCCGTTTGACGACATCAACTAAGGTTGATTCACGAAGTAGTGCAAAACGCTGTTTGTTTGTGATTTCCGTTTATGCTCCCACCGACTGCAGTTCAGATGTTGTCAAGGACACATTCTATGACGAACTGAACGCGCTACTACGCAGTGCTACTAGTTCAGATATTATAATACTTGCAGGGGATATGAACGCACAAGTGGGGCGTCTGAGCTCTTCATAAGCTCAGCTGGGTGGTAATTGTGGGCTTAACTCCGAACAGACTGACAACGGTGAGCGTCTGCTGCAACTGTGTGCGGAGCACCAGTTGTTTCTTAGTAGCACTGCTTTTAGACACAGTGGGCGCCGAAGTGTCACTTGGCGTCCTCCTGTAGCTGGCCAGCGCTTGACCCAAATTGACCACATAGCCATAAGTTACAGTTGGCGTGGTTTCAGCCTGCATTGCCGTTCGTACTGGAATGCCTGTTTCGACTCTGATCATGCCTTGGTACGCTGCCGTTTCTCCATGAACTTTATCGGGAGGCGCACCAAACGTCTCCTCCGATTGGCAACTGAGAAATTGTCTCAGTCCTCGGTCAAGCAAGCCTATCAAGAAGCACTGCATACTGAACTTCCGCAGTCTTGTCCTAATGACACTGAGCTTCAGTGGAATAGGATCTCGGCCGCCATGCACGACGCAGGAGCATCTGCTTGTGGCGCTATCCATCATCACCGCACCAGTTACTGGATATCCGAGAGGTTGGTGAACCTGTTGGAATCTAGAAGAAACCTCCCGGCTGGTTCTGAACACAATGTGACCATACGGGCTATTAGGCGTGAACTAAAGCAGAGCCTACGTGCTGACAAGGAAGCCTGGTGAACCAGTCGGGCTTAAGAAATGGAGAAGACAGGAGCACTAGGCAATTACCACAAGCTCTTCCAGCTGAACCGCACCACTGGTCCCAGAAAACCAGGCGTCAGTGAGACAATCAGAGACAGCGCGGGTGCGCTGATACACAATAAGGAGCGCCGTATGACTCGTTGGGTGGAACACTTTCAAGATCAGTTCAGCTGGCCCCCTGCTCCCGGACCTCTTCCTACTCAGGTGATGCAGGACGAGCCATGGACGGTTAGTTTAGAGCCTCCGTCAGAGGCCGAGGTCCGAAACGCGATCACAGCCCTTAATCGTTTTCGTGCCGCTGGCCCGGATTCTCTCCCACCTGCACTATTTAAGGATGGAAGTGAGGTCCTCTGCAAAGCACTGACCTATTCGAATGTATCTGGAAGTGTCCCGGCTAATCTGAGCGAATCGATTATAGTGGCAATATACAAGAAGGGCAGTCACGTAATCTGTTCTAACCCCAGGGGTATTAGTCTAACGCTAGTTGTGACAAAAT